CTACAATGAGAATTACAAAACCCTGCTCAAATAAATCAGAGATGACACAAAGATTCAATGTTTATGGATAGGAAGAATCAATATTGTTAAAATGGCCATACTGGCCAAAGAAATTTATAGATTAAATGCTATTCCTATAAACTATCAATGGCATTCTTCACATAATTATAAAAAACTATTTTAAAATTCATGTGGAAGCAAAACGAGTGCCAATAGCAAAAGCAATACTAAGCACAAAGAACAAAGCTGGAGACAACACATTACATGACTTCAAACTATTCTACAAGGTTATGGTAACCTAAACAGCATGGTACCAAAAAAAAAAAAAAAAAAAAAAAAAAGGAAAAAACCCCACATAGATTGATGGAACAGAATAGAGAGCCCAGAAATAAAACCACACATCTACAACAGTCTGATCTTTGACAAAGTCAACAAAGCAGGCAATGGGGAAAGGACACCCTATTCAATAAATGGAACTGGAATAACTGGTTAGCCCTATGAAGAAGATTAAAATTGAACTCCTTCCTTACACCATATACAAAAATCAATGCAAGCTAGGTTAGAGACTTATATGTAAAACCTACAACTATAAAAACCCAGAAGACAACCTAAAAAATGTTACTGTAGACATACATTCTGGCAAAGATTTCATGATGAAGCTGCCAAAGACAATTGCAATAAAACCCAAAAATTGTCAAATGGAATCTGATTATACTGAAGATCTTCTGCACAGCAAAAGAAATTATCAACAGAGTAAACAGCCTACAGAATGGGAGAAGATATATGCAAGCTATATATCCAATAAATGTTGAATATCCAGAATCTATAAGGAACTTAAACAAATTTACAAGAAAAAAACAAAACCCCATTAAAACGTGCACAAAGAATATGAACAGACACTTTTCAAAAGAAGATATACATGTGCTCAAGAAGCATATGAAAAAATGCTCAACATCACTAATCATCACAGAAATGCAAATCAAAACCACAATGAGATAACATCTCACAGCACTCGGAATGGCTATTATTAAAAACTCAAAAAGTAATAAATGCTGACCAACTTGTAGAGAAAAGAAAATGCATATACATTGTTGGTGGGATGGTGATATGGTTTGACTGTGTCCTCACCCAAATCTTATCTTGAATTCCCACGTGTTGTGGGAGGGACCTGGTGGGAGGTAATTGAATCATGGGGGCAGGTCTTTTCCATGCTGTACTCATGATAGTGAGTAAGTCTCACGAGATGGTTTTAAAAATGGGAGTTTCCCTGAACAAGCTCTCTTCTCTTGTCTGCTGCGATGTGAGATGTGCCTTTCGGCTTCTGCCATAATTATGAGGCCTCCCCAGTTTATTGGACTGAAAGTCCAATAAACGTCTTTCTTTTGTAATTGTCCAGTCTCAGCTATGTCTTCATCAACAGTGTGAAAACAGACTAATACAGTAATTTGGTACCAGTAGAGTGGGGCGCTGCTGAAAAGATACTCAAAAATGTAGAAGCAACTTTGGAACTTGGTAACAGGCAGAGGTTGGAACAGTCTGGAGAGCTCAGAAAAAGACAGGAAAATGTGGGGAAGTTTGGAATTCTCTAGAGACTTGTTAAATGGCTTTGACCAAAATGCTGATAATGATATGAACAATGAAATCCAGGCTGAGGTGGTCTCAGATGGAGATGAGGAACTTGTTGGGAAGTGGAGCAAAAGTAACTCTTGTTACATTTTAGCAAAGAGACTGGCAGCATTTTGCCCCTGCCCTAGAGACTTGTGGAACTTTGAACTTGAGAGAGAGGATTTAGGGTATCTGGTGGAAGCTTAGGCAGCAAAGCGTTAAAGATATGACTTGGGTGCTGTTAAAAACATTGTTTTAAAAAGGAAACAGCATAAAAGTTGGGAAAATTTGCAGCCAGACAATGTAATAGAAAAGCAAATCCCATTTTCTGAGGAGAAATTCAAGGCAGCTGCAGAAATTTGCATAAGTAATGAGGAGCTGAATGTTAATCCCCAAGACAATGGGGAAAATGTCTCCAGGGCATGTCAGAGGTCTTCGTGGCAGCCCCTCCCATCACAACCTGGAGGCTTAGAAGGAAAAGTGGTTGTGTGGGCTGGGCCCAGAGTCTCTTTGCTGTGTGCAGTCTAGCGACTTGGTGCCTTGTGTTCCATCCACTCTAGCTGTGACTAAAAGGGGCCAAGGTGCAGCTCAGGCTGTTGCTTCAGAGGGTGGAAGCCCCAAGCCCTGTCAGCTTCCACATGGTGTTGAGCCTACAGGTACAGAGAAGTCAAGAATTGAGGTTTGAGATTGTCTGCCTAGATTTCAGAGGATGTATGGAAATGCCTGGATGCCCAGGCAGAAGTTTGCTGCAGAAGAACCTCTGCTAGGGCAGTATGAAAGGGAAATGTGGGGTCAGAGCCCCGACATGGAGTCCCTCCTGGGGCACTGCCTAGTGGAGCTGTGAGAGGCAGGCAACTATCATCCAGACCCCAGAATGGTAGATCCACCAACAGCTTGCACAAAGTGCCTGGAAAAGTCACAGGCACTCAATGCCAGGCCATGACAGCACCCAGGAGGGGGCTATATCCTGCAAAACCACAGGGGCAGAGCTGCCGAAGACCATGGGAACCCACCTCTTGCATCAGCATGACCTGGATGTGAGACATGGAGTCAAAGGAGATCATTTTGGAGCTTTAAAATTTGACTGCCCTGCTGGATTTTGGACTTTCAGGGGGACTGTAGCCCCTTCGTTTTGGTTAATTTCTCCATTTGAAATGTCCATATTTACCCAATACCTGTACCCCGTTGTCTCTAGGAAGTAACCAAATTGCTTTTGATTTTACAGTCTCATAGGCAGAAGGGACTTGCCTTGTCTCCAATGAGACTTTGGACTGTGGACTTTTGAGTTAATGCAGAAATGAGTTAAGACTTCGAGAGACTATAGGAAAGGCATGATTGGTTTTAAAATGTGAGGAAATAAGATTTGGGAGGGGCCAGAGGCAGAATGATGTGGTTTGGCTGTGTCCCCATCCAAATCTCATCTTGAATTCCCATGTGTTGTGGGAGGGACCTGGTGGGAGATAATTGAATTGTGGGGGCAGGTCTTTCTTGTGCTGTTCTTATGATAGTGAATAAGTCTTATGAGAGCTGATGGTTTTAAAAATGGGAGTTTTCCTACACAAGCTCTCTTGTCTGCCACCATATGAGACATGCCTTTCACCTTCCATTATGATGGTGAGGCCTCCCTAGCCATGTGGAACTGTAAGTCCAATAAGCCTCTTTCTTTTGTAAATTGCCCAGTCTCGGGTATATCTTTATCAGCAGTGTGAAAACAGAATAACACAGACTGTAAATTAGTTCAGTCATAGGAGAAAGCAGTGTGGCAATTTCTCAAAGAACTTAAAACAGAATTACCATTCAACCCAGCAGTCCCATGATTGGGTGTATACCCAAAGGAATATGAGCCATTCGACTATAAAGACACATACATGCATATACTCATCATAGCACTATTCACAATAGCAAAGACATGGAATCAACCTCCTAAATGCCCATCAATAGTAGACTGGATAAATAAAATGTGGTATATATACACTATGGAATACTACGCAACCATAAAAAAGAACAAGATTATGTCCTTTGCAGCGACATGAATGGAGTTTGAGGCCATTATCATAGGCAAACTAATTCAGGAACAGAAAACCAAATACTGCATGTTCTTGCTTATAAATGGGAGCAAACATTGACTACACATGAACACATGTGTACTTGAGGGTGGAAGGTAGAGGAGGGAGAGGACCTAAAAACCACCTATTGGATAGTAAGATTATTACCTAGGTGATGAGATAATCTGTACAACGAACCCCTGTGACATGCGATTTACCTATATAACACACCAGCACATGTACCCCTGAACCTAAAAGAAAAGTTTTATTAAAAGCTGTACACAAAATGCAGACCTTATTGGAAACCCTCAAGGCAGTGACATTGTGTTGGGTATTCCCATTTAGGGTGATGGGGTCTTGAGTAAATATCTCAGCGTTACTTGTATTATCAGAATGTGGGTATTTGTGCATTACTCTAATAATTGCCAGTAGAAGAGGATTTGGTTTTCCCTGAAGGCTGGTATTATAAAGAATTTACCAACTCCAGACAACTTGAAAGATTAAGTTGCTCATTTTTGGGGGTATTTCTATTTGGTACTTCCATTTAAGATATTCACCTAGGATGGAAAATGTTTTTAGTCCTCCAGTAAAGAATGGCTTTGCTAACACATGGTCAGCTTATTTAATATGTGGCATGTCATGTTTCTTCTAAGTCTAGCATTTAATGTCACCTCTTATTGGATGTAGACATGGAGAATTACTCCTTCTTCTATGTTTCTGTTATAGGAGTTATCATATACACATGTATTATATCTGTCTTTCCTTCTCACCTTCTCAAAACCAGATATTATGTCTTCTTCATCCATATATTCCCAACACTACACAGTACTAGGGATTTAGCAAATATTCTTTTTCTTCCTTTCCCTTTTCTCCTCAAATCATGAGCAATGTGAACTCATTTGGATAATTATTTTGAAATGTAGAAGTAGGCCGGGTGCAGTGGCTCTTGCCTGTAATCTCAGCACTTTGGGAGGCCGAGGTGGGCAGATCACAAGGTCAGGAGTTCGAGAGCAGCCTGGCCAACCTGGTGAAACCCCATCTCTACTAGAAATACAAAAATTAGCTGGGCATGGTGGTGGGCGTCTGTAACTCCAGCTACTTGGGAGGCTGAGGCAGGAGAATCATCTGAACCTGGGAGATGGAAGTTGCAGTGAGCTGAGATCATGTCATTGCACTCCAGCTTGGGCAACAGGGCGAGACTCCATTAAAAAGAAAAAAAAAAAAGAAATGTAGAAGTATAGAGATGTTGGCTAAACAGGCCAGTTGATAACAGCTTAGAAAACTCAGGTTTGACCATAGAAATGAATGGTGTCTCTAACACTAGCTTTTAGTAAACTTTTTCTCTTCTCCAGATGCAGAAGCTTCAAAGGAGTGTGGAAAGTGTCTGGAAGGAAAGGTGTGCACCTTGGAGCTTTCCTTGGAGTGTATCATTGAGCTCTTTGTGTTTGGGTGGTGGGTCTTTGGAAGGTAAGACTTCTGACCTCCGAGGGGGTGGATCTCCAGAGAGTAGCCTGACTTCCTGAAGGGCATCCTGGAGAGGCAAGGGTGAGGGAGGCAGAAACCAGTGTTCATCTTGATCCTCTAGGAACTTGACCTTGAAGCAGAGGGCTGAGTAGGGCTGAGTATTTGAATGGAAGAAGAGGTGCACCTTGAGTGTGGCACTGAGATACTAAGCATGGAACACTGTTATCTGCACTTAACACTGAAGAATGAAACCCACCTGCTTCAGCAAACCACATAGGGTGAACAAGATCTTGAATTACATAGAAGGTAACCATACATCCTGATTTTCTGAAACAGTCCTGGCTAACGTCTCTTGTCCTGGCATAACTATTAACAGCATTCCTTTCTATTATCAAAAATGTCTCAATTTGTACAATAAATTACTTGACCACTTTGTGTAGGATCAGTTTTCAATAGCGACATTATGTGTTCTCACAAAGCAATGGCCGTGGACCAAGGTGTCCCAGGTTGACTCCTGGCTGGTGTGAATGCTAGAATGACCGCTCCCTGCCCTTGGACTTAAGAGCTGTAAAGATTCTGACAGTTTAGGTGGGAGGAATAACTTCAAGGAGTTCAAATATATCCTGTTTTTTTTTTTTAATTTAATACATGATATATTATTCAATTTTATGCAACTTTCTGAAAAGATATACTTCACTGCAGTGAATAGTAACTCTATGTGACCAGAATTTCTGTTTTCATCTAATACTAAGCTAATAGGGTAGAATTTTTTACCTTAAATTAAGAAAGTGACAGCCTCTGGGAACTATTCTATTCTCTATGCTTCCTCCTTAGCACGTAACTGACCCTATAAATGTAACCTCAGTTTGGATTTTCCATTTAATCGAGAAGTTAATTAAAAGGACCTTTTATAAAATTTGCATGTGGCTAGATATTACTGGTTGGTTACACATTTTCATAATTTCTATAGTCATTGCACAATGCCTAGAAAATATGACCTGCTTGATACCAGCTTTCTTAAAGTTAATGACATTTTTAGACCTAAAACCTTATCATTTAAAATAATTTTCTCTTGTACTGGAAAATAATGTAGAGTATATCCTATTAGTAAGGCATGTGAGTATTTCAGCAATTAATTGGAAAAATAAGAGGTGTGATGTATATGCTACTTTGAGTTGGTGAAGCAATTTATACCAGTCATATTCTAGTTATTTTAGAATTGTTGCTTACTTTAGCCCTAGTGACCTGATTATTTACATGGTTCTTAAACTGAGCTCTTTGTAGTGGTGTAGTAGCTTTCGCCACCTTAACCTACAGTCTTTAGAAGTTACAATTTTTGCTTATACAAAGACACAGAGTTTAACAATGAAGTAGACCTCTGCTTTTGCATGTCCAGCATCCCTTTTCTCTTCCATAGGAACTGAGCCCGTTTTACTGGGAGAAATGCATTCCACATAGTTTAGGTGATTCCCTTACTTTATTCTTCTTCTTTTACTACTCTTAATCCTTAATAAGGGGCTGAACATATGACATAAGCTTGACCAATCAGAGTATTCCATCCCTCTGGCCACATTGACTGTGGGACAGGGTAGGCAATTGATCTCAGATAGGCCAGTTTATGATCTTTTCTGGACTTTACTGCTGAACCTATTGGAAAATGCTTTTATTCTGCAAAGATTGCTAATCTGGTAGTACGAGATTTAGGTTGTTGGCAGCCATCTTGTCACTAAAAAGAGAAGACCCATCTGAAGAGAGAAGAAAAAGAAACAATGTCTCAAAGACATTGTTTTGAGGTTTCTTGCTCTAGCCTTGTCTAAAGCCCCAAATCTATTCATGCACTTAAAAAAATTTTGTGGGTACATAGTAGGTGTGTATATTTATGGGGTATATGAAATGTTTTGATACAGGTATGCAATGAGTAATAATCACATCATGTAACATGATGTACCCATCTCCTCAAGCATTTATCCATTGTGTTTACAAACCAATTATACTCTTTTAGTTATTTTAAAATGTACAATTAAATTGTTATTGATGATAGTCACCCTGTTTTGCTATAAAATACTAGGTCTTACTTTAAAAAAAAAAATCCACTAAGCATTCTCACCTCCCTGCCATCACCCTTCACAACCTCTGGTAACCGTTCTTCTACTCTCTATCTTCATGAGTTCAATTATTTTGATTTTTTAGGTTTTACAAATAAATGAGAACATGTGATGTGTGTCTTTTTGTGCATGGCTTATTTCACTTAGCATGATGGCCTCCAGTTCCAATGCAAATGACAGAATCTCATTTTCTTTTTATGGCTGAATAGCACTCTATTGCGTAGATGTACTATATTTTCTTTATTCATTCATCTGTTGATGGGCACTTAGGCTGATTCCAAATTTTGGCTATTGTGAACAGTGCTGCAGTGAACATGAAAGTGTGGATGGCTCTTCAATATACTGATTTCCTTTGAGTATATACCCATCAGTGGGATTGCTGGATCATATGGTAGCTCTATTTTTAGTTTTTTGAGGAACCTCCAAACTGTTCTCCATGGTGTTTGTACTAACTTACATTCCCACTAACAATGTATGAGCATTCCCTTTTCTCTCTATCTTTGCCAGCATTTGTTATTCCGTTTTTGGATATAAGCCATTTTAACTGGGGTGAGATGATATCTCATTGTAGTTTTGATTTGCATTTCTCTGATGATCAGTGATGTCAAGTACCTTTCACATGCCTGTTTGCCATCTGTATGTATTCTTTTAGACATGTCTATTCAAATCTTTTGCCCATTGTAAATCAGATTATTAGATTTATTTCCTATAGAGTTGTTTGAGCTCCTTATATATCCTAGTTATTAATCCCTTGTCAGAAGAGTAGTTTGCAAATATTTTCCCCCATTCTGTGATGTGTCTCTTAACTTTGTTGATTGTTTCATTTGCTATGCAGAAGCTTTTTAACTTGATGAGAACTCATTTGTCCATTTTTGTCTTGGTTGCCTGTGCTTGTAAGGTATTACTCAAGAAATTTTTGCTCAGATCAATGTACTGGAGGGTTTCTCTGATGTTTTCTTGTGCTGGTTTCATAGGCTGAGGACTTAGATTTAAGACTTTAATCCATTTTGATTTGACTTTTGTATATGGTGAGAGGGATTTAGTTTCATTTTCCTGCATATGGATATCCAGTTTTCTCAGTTTCATTTATTGAAGAGACTGTCTTTTCTCCCATGTTTGTTCTTGGCACCTCTGTAGGTGCCAAGGTGTGCAGATTTGTTTCTAGGTTCTCTATTATGTTCCATTGGTATATGTGTCTGTTTTTATGCCAGTACCATGCTGCTTTGGTCACTATAGCTCTGTAGTATAATTTGAAGTCAAGTAATGTGATTCCTCCTGTTTTATTCTTTTTGTTTAGATTAGTTTTGGCTATTCTGGGTCTTTAGTGGCTCCCTATAAATTTTAGAATAGTTTTTTTTTTTAAATTTATGTGAAGAATGTCATTGGTATTTTGATAAAAATTGCACTAAATCTGTAGATTGCATGATAAGTGGAATTATTATTATTATTATTTTTTCAGATTGTTCACTGTTGGCATATAGAAATCCTACTGATTTTCACAACGTGGGGACAGGTCATCATGGTGGATGGGAGGCAGGACTAGATTGCAGCTGCAACTCAGACAGAGAGAGAAGCATGCAGAGGCTCGCATTTTGAATTGTAGCTCCAGATCAACTTCAAGAACAAACCAGCGATTCTGAGAGGACTCACAGACCCTCTGAAGGAAGTGGACTGCTCCTGCAGGACCCAGAAGCCACCCCAAATACTCTGTTGGTATTAATGGCTGAGAGACCCATAGACAGTTCACATGACAGGACTCTGTGCAGACAACCCCCAGTACCAGCCTGGCACCTGGTAGACTTGCTGGGTGGCTAGACCCAGAAGAGAGGCAACAATCACTGCAGTTCAGCTTACAGAAATCCACATTCTTAGGAAAAGGGGGAGAGTACTACATCAAGGGAACACCCTATGGGACAAAATAATCTGAACAACAGCCTTCAGCCCTAGACTTTCCCTCTAACAGGGCCTACCCAAATGAGAAGGAACCAGAAAACCAACTCTGGTAATACGACAAAACAAGGCTCCTTAACACCCCCCACAAATCACACTAGTTCACTAGCAGTGTATTCAAGTCAAGAAAAAAAATCCCTGATTTACCTGAAAAAGAATTCAGGAGGTTAGTTATTAAGTTAATTAGGGAGGCACCAGAGAAAGGCAAAGCCCAATGCAAGGGAATCCAAAAAATGAAACAAGAAGTGAAGGGATAAATATTCAAGGAAGAGGTAGCTATTCTTATATCAGACAAAACAAACTTTAAAGCAACAGCAGTTAAAAAAGACAAAGAGGGACATTATATGATGGTAAAAGACTTTGTCCAACAGGAAAATATCACAATCCTAAACATATACACCTAACATTTGAGCTCCATAATTTATTAGACAATTACTAATAGACCTAAGAAATGAGATAGACAGTAACTTGATAATAGTGGGGAACTTCCATACTCCACTGACAGCAGTAGAGAGGTCATCAAGATAGAAAGTCAATAAAGAAACGATGGATTTAAATTGTATCTTGGAACAAATGGACTTAACAGATACATATAGAACATTTTATCCAACAACTGCAGAATACACATTCTATTCAACAGCACATGGAACTTTCTCCAATATATACCATATGATAGGCCATAAAATGAGCCTCAATAAATTTAAGAAAATTTAAATTATATCAAGCACTCTCTCAGACCACAGTGGAATAAAACTGGAAATCAACATAAAAAGAAACCTTCAAAACGATGGAAATACATGGAAATTATATAACCTGCTCCTGAATGAGCAATGAGTCAAAAATGAAATGAAGGAAATTAAAAAATTCTTCTAACTGAAGGGCAATAATGGCACAACCTATCAAAACATCTGGGATACAGCAAAGGCAGTGCTAAGAGGAAAGTTTATAGCCCTTAACACCTACATCAAAAAGACTGAAAGAGCACAAGCTGACATTCTAAGGTCACACCTCAAGGAACTACAGAAACAAGAACATACCACACCAAACCCGGCAGAAGGAAATAACAAAGATTAGAGCAAAACTAAATGTAATTGAAACAAACAACAACAACAAAAGAAATGCAAAAGATAAATGAAACAAAACGCTGGTTCTTTGAAAAGAGTGATAAAATTGATAGATCATTAGCAAGATAAACAAAGAAAAGAAGAGAGAAAATCCAAATAACCTCGTTAAGAAATGAAACAGGAGATA